ACATGACCTCGAGCGAAAGGAGACCAGACCTCTCATTTCCGCTTCCATTTCATGACCGCAGTAGCAAACTGCGCACCTATACGACATTTCGCTGTAGAGTTTCAGGATTACTTTCTTCTGTGTGTGGCTATCCTGGAATTTATACGATGATTATTTATACAACGTTTCTTGTGTGTGGTCACTCTGAAATGTATACGATGATTCTTTATACAACGTTTCATTATAGAGTTTCGGGATAAATTGTTTTGTGTGTGGACATGCTGATATAGTTATCATGCTAACATAAGATCGCTTATGGTTTTTAAATGGGGGTAGGCTTAAGGTTTCTTAACCACGAGTTCGCCTACATGGTCCTTAACTAAAAGATGACTTCAAAGTTAAAAACCACAACCTAAGCTTAAAGTTAACAGACTGTCACGTGAACAGGCCTGCACATGAACCTAAAGCATGCAGCTTATAGATACTTGTAGGTTATGAAGCAAAATGAGTGTCTGCTTTTAATAAACAAATTGAGTAATAGATCTATTTGGGCCGGGTAATTTGAAATGGTAACCAATTGCAGGCCAAATTGTTATGAAGTTGGTGCCAAAAAGTACACTATATATGAATTACCCACTGATTGTGGCTTCCCCTTTGATAAGATGGGCCAATAACCTGCTGACCTGTCATTTAGTAGTCTGCTTAAATAGACCCTACAGTGAAAAAAAATACACGGGGACTCGGGGCGAATTAGCCCCCGAAATGCCCAAAAGAGCCCCCGAAAGTCTTAAAAGAGCCCCCAAATTTTGCCTAGAGTCCAATGCAAAACAAATTAAAGAGTGTTATTTTCATGCGAGCAAGCTTGAAAAGTAGCCCCCCCCCCCCCCCCCCCCCCCAATTTTTTTTTTCCTGAGACCCTATTGTCCAACATTAACATAATTACAGGTAATTCGTTCTGACCTGGGCTAAGCCTAATCTACTTGAGTTTTGTCAAGTGGAAAATGGGAATCACACATGTAGGCAAAATGAAATGTATTCCTAGATTCCTCCCCCCCCCTTATTTTACCCAACTCACTTTTTTGTTAATAATTTTTTTCAAAAAATAAACAAATTGCAATTCTGCCTTGTTTGGGCCCTTAATGAATTGCCCGTAGAAATTGAATGCAGTTAAATAAAATTTGTGTTAGATTTGACCTGATATCATTATCATGTACGGGTAAAATATCACATATCATGACATCCCTTCCTTCTAATTTTTTTCAAAATATCCAGACAAGAAGCTGGGAAACAGTTTTACTTTGCCTAACGCCTTAACGGAAAGCAACAAATAGGTCTATGAAATGTAATCAGCCGATGCAGGTTTGTGCCTTCGTAACAAAATAATTAGCAAGGGGTAAATTAAAGCTTTTATACCGGTATCCACCCATTTTATTTGACGATGGACATTCAAGCAAAACCCATAAGTTTTTCTCGCATTCCATAGATTTGTTGGAAGTTGCTTGGCAACTAGTTATAAATACAAATCTACAGTGTTTTTTGGAATTCCACCTATTTTTCCAAACACCAATGAATTATCCATGTTTTTTTGTCTCATGACTCTCCTCACTTCAGTGCTATCACAGGCAGAGCAGCAACAAATGATGCGTCGGCACAAATCAACAACACCACCAGAGAATTAGCACACACCAACAGCTATTTATGGGTTTTGCAGCAATGTAAATTCATTTTTTATTTTTTTAATTATTTTTTTTAATGTAAATGTAAATTTAAAACAACAGTGGTAATTTTCTCAAAATGTTTTTTCTTAGATGTAAATGAGCCTAATGAGGGAGAATATTGGTTTAAGATTTATAATTGATTTTTAGCTTACTCATTTCTAATGTGGTTCCAATTGAACACAGCAGGATACAAAGATAATGTAAAGGCTATGTTCACATGAGACCGTCGTAATTTTAAACTTAAAGGCACACTGTCCTACTTGTAGCTACTTGCTCCCTCTATATAGAAAACTTCCCAAATCGGTGCCTGTTGGTCCCCCATGATCCTCTTTTTCTTATGTTGAATGAAAGCCGAGTTAATGAGATACGCACCTGTCACAGTGACCTTGATGGTTCACTGGGTGGTCTAATCCCTTCTTGCTGAAGTAGTAAAGCCTCCCTTTAAGTTTGCGAAACCTTGATGTTATAAATAATGATGATGGGGTTCACACGGAACTGAAACAATAGTATTCAAGAGTATTCAAAGTTTTAAACCACAAGCCGGGCAAGCTGACATGTCAACTACAAGCTGACAAAACATACAAAAATTAAGTGTGTCCACACGGAACATAACTTTGAGTAAGATCTCGCCACTGCTCTTAGTTATCATTGAGATTAACATTAACATTAAGAGAGGTGATTGTTTAAAACTTTGTGTTAACTTAGGGATTCATAACCATGAGTGCATCCACACAGTTCTTAACTACAAGATAACCTTGACGTTGGTAACCACAACCTCAACTTTGAGTTTACTGACTGCCGTGTGAACTGCGCTAAAGGTTTCACACTCCCAAAGGACATTCACCACCTTCCTACAAACCAAAGTTTTCCTGTGCAATTGTCTACAGTCTTGCTTCTCAGACTGCTATAAAGGGAGTGTATCATATAATACGACTACGGACGACGCGACCACAGCAATCATGTGCGTGCAACATACACAAAACTGAAACGTGAGGAGAACTTTTTCTGTTTCGCGAATGCTGACCATGTAGAGATTATTCGCTGACTACCGTTATCAAGTCCATTCGTATACGTGCAGTTGTCCAAAAGAAGACATAGATTGCGTCAACCAGTATTTGCCATGCTACACTCCCTTTTCTTAGTCTGAAGCACAGACCTTGGTCAGTCACGTTGCCTAAAAGAGGGTCTGAACTTGCAGACTATACAGAGAAAATGAGCTGAGTACTGACTGCATAGCTGCACCTTATTCGACACTACCAGAGTTAGGCTATGGTTGTGTTTTTTAGTACACACTTCAATGAGAAACACCTTAGGGAATTGTGTTTGAGTGTCAAAAGAGGGTCTGTGCTTGCAGACTACCGCTTCCCCTTCATTGGTGGGGTGCACAACAGGGAGCATGTGCCCCCAAACAAATCTGCCATATTATTTATACATAACTACATACAGTAGCAGAGCAGAGAAAAGCCAACATTTTAGTGTGTGGGATATAGCCCACCCCTTCCCACCCCCCCCCCCCCCCTCTTATTAGTGTGAGACATATCAGAATGCTACTGAGAAATACAAGAACTTATTTTTTTAATGCTCTGCCTTTCAGCACTTCTTGAGACCAGTGCTACCCCCCCCCCCCCCCCCCTCCCATCCCCACCACACTCCTACACACTCACACCTCCAAATACTGATTCCTTAATCCACCCTCTGCCTACACCATCCTACCCTTTAAAGGCCCACTGCACTACTGGTAGCTACTTGCGCCCTCTATATAGCAAACAATGCCTAATCGGTGACCATTGGTCCCCCATCATCCTCTTTTTCTTATGTTAACTGAGAGCTGAGTTGATGAGATACCCACCTGTCCAGTGACCTTGTAGAGCGGTTTAATCCCTCCTGTAAACTACGACAGATAAGCTTTAACAAAAGTGCAGTTTGAGCACACATTATGGTTAATACTTGATAGATGTAGACTTAAGTGAACCTACACATGGTTGCAGTGGAAAGTTTTAATGTGCAAGTCCACTCCAAAAATAATTACTTTCAATAGAAGCAGAACAATCAGACAAACCAATCAAAACAAGGTTGAGCAAAATTGGATAACTAATAAGAAAGTTCTTAATTAATGACATGAAATACTTTGAAAATCACAAGAAAGATTGGCAACCCACCCATGAGTCTGTGACATCATTGTCTCACTATCCACTAACTGTTTTCTTTATATTATTAATTCAAATTTCCCATATTCCCCCTACAAATCTTATTTCTTCACACCAGCATCCAAGTTATATTGATAGTATTATGTGTTTTTGTGTGGGTGCATGAATATAGAGTATGGCTATTCTTTTTCAGTTAAATCATGAAAAATGTGAATTTTGATAAACTATTTAAATAAAAATCAATAATTATGAACATACAATATTCAGAAAATAGTATCAAGTCTTTCAAGTTCATAAAAGATTTTGTGAAATTTCATGCACGGATTGCACACAATATCATAAAAATCATTTAACCTGGCAAAGGCATGGGCAAAGGCATGGGGAAATCAAGTTTTGGGGGATAAAAAGGGAAATTAATGGGATTAAAATATATAAAGCAATTGATAAAATAGTGAGGACATGACGTCAGTATCACAAACTTATAACCAAATTGGCAATTTGTGTAGTGATTTCCATCGTTCCCGATACTTTTTTATACTTTTTCAAAAATTCATAACTTCCTTTTTAGCTATCTGATTTTACTCATTTGTTTTGCTCTCTTTCTTTTGTTTTTCTGCATCTATTAAAAGCAAATTATTTTGGAGTGGACTTTAAGTCTATAATATTTCTCCCTCTCCAGGTTTCCAATGAACCTTCTGTGCTCCATTTCATAACGAAGAATTTCCTTATGACATGTGTTCGTACCACATGTTACCTTGGAGCCTATTTTAGGATCATGTTGTTTGTGTTGTATAGAGTTCAGACTTACAGTGGATGTGTGTATCCCAGCCCCCCCCCCCCAACTCCGGGAACGGAGGTACGCACATGCATGTTCCCAAAATCTCTGGCTCGTAACAAAAGAAAAAGGTCTACCCGTATTGAATTTACACACCGGACTTATGGTGAAAGGGGGGGGGGGTGCTGAAAAGGCTTGTATAACAAAAGAAAACGATCTACCCGTATTGACTTTACACACCGGACTTATGCTGAAAAGGGGGGGGGGGGGGTGCTGAGAACACGCATATGCGTACCCTAAATAACACTGAGTGGGGGGCCGGGGTGTGTATGCAGATGAATTTACCCTTTTTGTGTATCTTTTTTTGTCTGCCCTTTCCAGATATGGCTTCCAGCACCCTACGTACATCAACATTATCCGAGATCCACTAGAGAGGGCAGTGTCACAGTATTATTTCATTAGGTTCGGAGATGAGAAGAAACAGGAGCGACGGTTCAGCCAGAATTCCACCGATCCTCGTAAATTAATGGTGAGACTTCATCAGGGTATTTCATTTTTGAATTTACTAGTCGTTTTATTTATAGAGGGCAGGGGCGTACGCAGGATTTTTTCAAGGGGGGGGGTTTTAAAATATTTTGCTCCCGAAAATTTGAAAATCGCGCCGGTCGAAAAGTCGCTCAGTGGGGGGGGGGGGTAAGCGGACACTTTTTTTTTTTTTTTTGAGGTCAAAAAAAAATCGCAACGACTCAGCCAGCCGAAAAGTCGCTCAGTGGGGGGGGGGGGGGGGGGGGGGGGGGGGTAAGCGGACACATTTTTTTTTTTTTTTTTGGTCTCGAAATTTCATAATTTGACATTTTTTGTTGTTGGGGGGGGGGGGTAAGGTCACCTTATTTACATGTAGGTTAGCCGTGGGTATAATTTTTTTTTTTTTTTTTTTTTTTTTTTTTTTTTTAATAATAAAAAAACAAAAAACAAAACAAAACAAAACAAAGGGGGGGGGTTTTAGGTTTTTTTAGGGGGGTTTACATACATAAAAATACCGAAGGGGGGGGGGTTTTGAACCCCCAAACCCCCCCCCCCCCCCCCTGCGTACGCCCCTGATAGAGGGTAACATTGTCAGTGAACTTATAACAATCCCCTATGATTCAATTTGTGCGCAGCTGGAATATATGAAATCAACCCTAAACAATGAAAACTAATAACCTGGTATTCTGGTACAGTTCAGAAGTAAGAAGAAAAATGAATGAAACATAAAAATCCAACGTATACAACACAAATTAAACTTTGATTCCGTTCTTCTGCAAGCATAAGCTGATATTGCTCATCTATATTTTACAACAATTCTTATTCACAAAATTGAATAAGTTTGGGTAACAAACTGAAAAAAAGGCAAAGGTTGATTTGTTTAGATTTAGAACTTTGGAAATGTTATAACATCCATGGTTTCAAGACGAAGTGGTGAGGGAGCTGCTACCCATCATTTATGATGCGTGGCAGCAGATCAGCAGCAAATGTTTGCAATGGAAATTGTGATATTAGGTCCAGATGACAAGTGACGATGTGGAAACCGGAATTATTTTCAGAATTTTGTCACTCGTTACTCATTACCTCATGATGCTATCTGTTTGTCGGTGAATAAAAAGAGGGAAACTGTATTTCCATTGAATCAGTGTCCTGCAAGTTTTACAGGTATATAATTATACTTTCATCGTGAGCAAGGCTGAATTCTGCCTAAACATTGGGAAATCTGCTTAGCCATTTAAAGGAAGATGCAATCACTTGTAATTTGTTTAAAGCTAAAGACCAGTTATGGTCATGCGATTGCATTGTGAAAGAAACATTGTGAAATCGATCAGAAAAGGTTGATCATCTAGCATAGATGTACTGCAAGGTTCTGGAATCATCAAAATGATAAGAAATTGGCCAAGTCTTCATAAAGTTAGAATCACTGTACACAGAAAGATGTATATGGGACTACACACATGTGCACGACACATGCATTTGTATCTCTCAACAGGCAAGAGATACACTAATTTCCCAAATATATCAATTAGTAGGCGGTTCCCGTCAACATTTTTATCATCATGTATTATTCAAAACATATTCTTTCACATGATTGGTAATAAGAGCTTCCATTTCTTTTTTAATTGGGACGTTTCCAATACTGGTCTTTACCTTTAATATCTACTGTTAATTAAATTTTTAATATCCCTTGTAAAATTTTATGTTTTTGTGTCTTTCGTAACTCAACTTACTCAAGAATGAAGGTGATTGGTTGAATTTTTTTGTTTGTTATAATGTTTAATTTCTGAGGCCATAACATAGTACATGTACATGTAGAGTATAACTTTTCCATATTAAAGGCTCAATCCAATTTTATTTCTTCTTGAAGTTAGTCTTTATAGTGGCAATCAAGTAGAATCTATGTAATATATTGTATACTTATATAATGATGTTGTCACAGATGATTACCTTTGTAAGTCATGAGACTCCATATCACATGAGGCTTGTGAGGTGATTCAAGAAGAAGAAGCATATCATTTTATCCATCTGTATAATTTGCTTCTTGTTTATGTCTCTTAACAGAGTTACGAGCAGTGTGTCATCCAGCAGGTGCCGGAGTGTATTGGAAAAAGAGCCTTCTATATTGTCCCTTTCTTCTGCGGCCACGACCCTAGATGCAGGCAAGTATGCAAGGAGACAGGAGGATATTTTTATATGTCATATTTAACAGTTCATTTGTCTCATATAATACAAATATGTCCATTCATGGGTTCGATCCCCGGCATGGCACTTCTGTCCGTAATCAAGGCATTTTATCTACATGTACATCTTTGGGGGCTTCTCTCCATGTCCGTGTTAAAGGTAAAGACCAGTTATGGTCATGCGATTGCATTGTGAAAGAAACGTTGTGGAATCGATCAGAAAAGGTTGATCATCTAGCATCTAGCATCTGCAAGGTTCTGTAATCATCAAAATGATAAGAAATTTGGCCCATTCTTCGTAAAGTTACAAGCACTATACACAGAAAGATGTAAATGGGACTACCCTACATGTATATCTCTCACAGACCATGAGAGAAATAAATTTACCAAATATATGAATTAGTAGGCGGTTTCCGGCAAATTTTTTATCATCATGTATTAGTTAAAACATATTATTTCACATGATTGGTAATGAGAGCTTCCATTTCATTTTTTGAAATTGGGGCGTTTCCAATACTGGTCGTTACCTTTAAGGTGGGTGGCTCGTCATTTTCCATGTGCAGAAGGTCATAATTCGCCGACACCAGACTTGGTGAAAATACCATTAATGAGTGTACAAGTCTGAAAACAGCAAACTCGTAGGTCAATCAAGAAACACCCCCTCATCTCTCAAAGAGTCTTCGGGTGATGCAAATGTCAGATAAGGACTTTAACCATATGGGGGAAAGACAGAGCATTACATAAAGCTTGTTGATCATAAACCTGAAGGCTAACTGCAATAAGCCGTCAATTTTCTGATTGCCGGTAGTTGTCGTTTGGACGATAACTGCGTTGTTTGTTGTCGGGCTAGCGTAATTTTTCCTTTGGGGTGTGACACAAGAATTTACAAACCATTATTACAACCATCTTGGTGGAAATCTTTCATGATATTCTTTACTCCTTTATTTCCAGGTTTCCAACAGCATGGGCTTTAGAGCGAGCTATTGAGAATGTCAAAAAGCATTATGTGGCAGTGGGAATCCTAGAAGAGCTACAGGACTCCTTGCAGGTCTTTCAGAAAGTTCTACCAGACATGTTTAGTGGAGCCTTAGATACATTCCTTAGATTCGGTAGGTTCATGGAAACTAAGGTGTCTTAGATGTAAGGTACTTGGTAAAACTACATCTCAGTATTTGGGGAAAGTATCTGCCAGGAAAGATAGCTACCATGAAAGATTGGTACCTAAAAATGTAGGCATCCTTGAAGAACTACAAGACATTTCTGAGGTCTTTCAGAAGGTTCTACCAGAAAGGTTCGATGGAGCCATTTGATTTAGTAGGTACCTTGGGTAACTGGGGAACAGAGCAGTTAAGGACTTGGTGAAACTGCCTCTCAGTATCTAGGGAAAATATGTATTCTAAAAGAGATAGCTTCTATGAGAGATAGGTACCTGGCAATGTAGGCATTCTTGAAGAACTACAAGACATTCTTAAGGTCTTTGAGAAGGTGTACAAGATATGTCCAGTGGAGCCCTAGATACATTCCTTAGATTTGGTAGGTACCTTGGGAAACTGAGTAAATGAGCAGTTAAGTACTTGGTAAAGGTACATCTCAGTATGTAGGGCAAGTATGAACCGGTACTAAAAAGAGATAGGTACCTGGCAATGTAGGCATTAGTGAAGAACTGCAAGACATTCTTAAAGTCTTTTCTGGTCTTTCCAAAAGTTCTACCAGACCTGTCCAGTGGAACCCTAGATACATTCCTTAGATTCGGTAGGTAACTGGGGGAACTGGGTGACTGAGAAGTTGAGTATGTGGTGAAACTGCATCTCAGTACCTGGGGAAAGTATGTACACAGAAATAAAGCTACCATGAAAGATAGGCACCTGGCAATGTAGGCATCATTTGAAGGTTTATAACACATTCTAAAGGCCTTTCAGAAAGTATTTACCTGAAATGATGGCTACCCTGAAAGATAGGCACCTGGCAATGTAAGCACCATTAAACAACTACATTATTAAGACTTTCAGATAGTATTCACCAGGAAAGATAGGTTCCTGACAATGTTGGCATCGTTTAAGAACTATAAGGCATTCTTGAGGTTTTTCAGAAGGTTCTACAAAATATGTTTAGTGGAGCCCTAGATAAATGCCTTAGATTAGGTAGGTACCTTGGCCGACTGAGAAGTTTAGAATGTGGTGAAACTACATCTCAGTATTTTGGGAGATTATGTCAGTACCCAGAAATAAAGCTACCATGAAAGATTGGTACCTGGCAATGTAGGCATCATTTAAGAACTACAAGACATTCTTAATCATATGTATGTCACACTGTACATACATACAGTATAATATATGTCTGTATTATTTCATTTATAAACTAAATACCTAGGGAGATCCAACTGACATTTTTCTCCTTTTTTCTCCACTTTCCTTTCAGAACAAATCGCTAACAGGAACAAGACGTCTGTTGGTGTGACTCAATACAAGAAGAAACCCTCAACCAAGACTGCCCTCTATGTCAAAAATGTTTTAATGAAGTACGAATATCAGTTTTACAACTGGATAAAAAATCGCATGCATCAACAAATGGCTGATTTAGGAATCAAGTCTTATCATAAAAGTTACAGATGAAAAGAGGATATTCTTTAGGATATCTAGTACCTTTTTTTAAACCTTATTTATTGCAATAAAACCAAAATCATTTCAAACTTTTTATACATTTTTTTTGAATTCCTGTATCTTTGCTAACGTGATTTTTCCCAGCAATGCCTTTTTTGTCTTCCAAGTCATTATTTTATGACAGTTTAACTTTTGTATTAACTTCATAGGCAGCATCGTTGTATTTCCCCCATCTCTCATTGTTTTAAATCAAGAACACTGTAGTAAGTGAACAAATTTGAACAGGCATTTGTCCTGTGGTCAGTGAATTGCTGATTGGTCTACAACCAGTTTTTCTACTATCCAATTAGTCTACCGTATTCCCATATGGTCTACACCCAGCCCGTCTACCATCCACATGTTCTAATTATCATTTTGTCTTCTTATCATTTGGTTTAATGAACTATAGTCGAATAGCCATTCGGTCTAATATCCAATTAGTCTACTGCCCATTTGGTCTACTATTCATTTAGTCTAATAACCAGTTGCTCTAATTCCCATTTCGTCTACAATCCTTAAAGTCTCATAATCATTCGATTATTATTATTATTATTATTATTCATGGTTAAATGATTATATAACGATATGGATAATGCACAAAATGGGCATTAGACTTCATGAGCAATAGACCTAATGAAAAGTAGAAAAATGATTATAAGACTATATAATAGGGATAGTAGTCCGACTGGTTGTAGACCATATGGGAATAGACCTATTGAGAAGTAGACAAACTGGTTGTTGACCAAACGGCAATAAGCCCGATGCCAGGCCCAGCTGTTTGAGGGGGAATCGGAATGACTGATGTTGTTCAAAATCTTATTCCAATGATCACGTTGAATGCATGTAGGATTAGAAGTTTTCAATGGAGAAAATAGAATTACATGTATATGAATTTATATTGACAACTTCAAAATTTCATGTCTGTGTTATTTCTTAACAGATTTTGCTGCAACTTTCACTGATCTTTTTCTTTGAAGTTTTGTTTTGCTTTCATTAAAACCAACTTAATATCGGGCTGAACTTCCCCTTTTACAGTGACTGCATCAATTTATTTGTTAAACTTTTGCAAGAAAAAGTCTTTCTTGCAGATACCAAAGCAATCATGTCTTAGGCTATGACAGCGTTTTTTTAACCTTTTTTTTTAGTCTTGGCACCTTTTTAGAAATTAAACAAATTTGCATCACCCCATTCCAAAGTTCATCACTGTGACTCTTAATATAGATATAGGCATATGGCACATAATGACATTAAATTGCTCATGTGTGGGCAGATGCCTCTTGCCAGAATACAAATTTTATTTGGTTTCCAAATTTAGAAAGCGAGGGAACTGAGGGAGCAACAACAACAAAAATGACACTGTTGTGGCAAAAATAATAGTTTGTGACCAGTTGATAACATATTGGTGTATTGTATGTTTTAAATATAACTAAATCTCTCTTGTGGCAACCAGGTTAGAACACGCTGGGCTATGATTCTGTATTAACCAAAAATATAGCTTGAAGAACATTGAAAATTATTATGAGAATGAATGTGATAATGGTGGTAGGTTCTGTTTTTCGAAACTATTAAACGCATACTTTTCAATGAATAAAAGGGACTAACCCTGTTATACATGTGTGTACCAGTTCTAGTCACCTTTCGTGTTACCAGCAATTTGTAAATATATTTATTTATCAATACGATAGTATCAAATCAAAGTATGATTAGACAATTTTAACAAAATTGATATGTGCTTATTACTTAACACCTGTACATAGCCCCCAAAAAGAATCTTTTTGATAAATTATCAGCTTCGATCCATGCTCTATGCTGTTTCTTTTCTATAATGAATATGTGTGTGAGATTTATGATAAAGTTTTGATGAATTCATATTTGATTAAAAAACAAAGTCAATATTTTCCTCGTCATTGTGCTTTCTTTTTGTTAGCGGTGACTGTTTTTCAATCCTTATAAATTGTTTATTTACTTATTTATATATATATATATATATATATATATATATATATATATATATATATATATGTTTATATAATTACGGTAGTTATTTATTTACTTGCAATTTTATTTTTACGAGGTAGCATTGTCAGTTACAAAACAGCATTCCACACTGGCTCTGTTGGCCTTTATTACGTATATATACTTAAAGATTACAGATTGTAACTAAAGACAAAGTTCTATAGATAGGCCTATATATATATATAGAATAATGATTTTGAAAAATTATTAGGAATTGTCTATCAATAATGAAGGCAAATTCAAAGATTTTCGTTGAAAAAACACAAGCAAACAATAAAGACTAACCATTAAATTTAAAAAAAACAGAAAAATTATTTCTAACTAAACCTAGCAACTATTGCGTTCTTGCTTTATACATGCAAGTAGAACTATGCCTGGTCAATGTTTTTCGCTATAGTACCCAGCAGACTGTAGCGAATTTTCATGCCTGCAGTTTTGGCCAATCAGAGGCCTAGAATCTTGATATGCGTTGTATAATGAAAACTGTGAAACTGCTTGTGTGCCACTACTTCATGTGAAAATTCCAACGTACACAATGTACCATCTAGAGAAACGTGGCAGGGTGGGCAAACCCAAGAGATGCACTATTGATGACTTGTTATGAAAATTGATAATTAGTTTTATCAGAGGGAGGCAGGGGGGAGTGAGGGGGTGGGAGGTAGAGAGTGAGGAAGGAGGGGAGAGGGGAGGGAGAGAGTGATGGGAGGATGTGTGTGTGCGTTTGGAAGGGGAAGAATATCTTTTTTATTAATGAGTTTTACTTTTTGTTTCTGTATTTGCCAGCAGGCACATAGCCACGGGGCGGGGGGGGGGGGGGGGGGCACGGAGGTACGGCCCCCCCCCCCCCCCAAAAAAAAAAAAAAAAAATCCAAGATCGGTTGCACTTTCTTAGACCCCTCCCCAGGACGTCGATCAATTAAATGTTTGTGCCCCCCAAACATCAAACTCTGGCTACGTGCCTGGTATTTGGAAAGTAGTTCAACTCAAATTTATTGTTTAATTTTTTTTACCGGACAACCCGTTATAAAAATATTTCATGGGAATCTTAACAATTTAGCCCACTGTGTGTCCGCTAACTCAATATCGTCAACATGGTTACTCGACGTTTGAGGGCAAGGTTTGCAATATCATTTTAACACCTTTCAAAGGAAACTGGGAGCTCCACGAACCTAACCCCCCCCCCCCCACCTCCTCTCTCCTTGTACGACATACTGTGCACTAATTATTTAACAGAACGCGTGCATTCCGACGATTAGACTGTTAACAAAATAAACTAAACGGTCTTGATTAATTACATGAATAAATAATCAGTTGATGGGTGAATGCGGGTAAAGTGCCATTAATATGATGATATTGCTTTTCATTATCCCTGTGACCACTAGGGTATTTGAAGGATGAGCAAGGGGAGGGCCGGGGGGCGGGGGCATTTATTTGCCCTTTTTCGGCGGGTTTCCAACAACGGAAGGTAATGCCCCCCCCCCCCTTTTTTTTTTTTTTTTTTTTTGTTGTGTGTTATTATTTTACCAGCTAAGTTTAATAGGATATTAGGGAATCATTACAAGTCAAGAAACGCGCGAAAAGTAGACAAATGGAAAGACTTACCTTTAATTTTTTCTCTCCCAAAATAAGTCATTTTTAGCGCCCGCCTCTTAACGCAAACCACGGCCCTCAAAAGGTACTTTACCCATACAGGTTTATGAATCACAGTAACTTGAGATATTTTACCCCCCCCCCCCCCCCCCTTGGTGCCAAGATCTAGATATGCCGATGATTATGATAATACGTAATGCGTGATTAGCTGAATAATTACGCAATTCGATTTGGAAAAAAAACTTGATGAACGAGTTGATGTCATGCTAACAGCTCCTGAAAATGACATTTTGATAATATGACGATGCTCTATAGGGACTGGGCAAATCCTTGGTCACAACAAGATCACGCTCCGATCGTAATGAGGATGTTCAATATCGAGATGAGAATTTCAATCTTAAATGTCATATTGATGATCTGACACGATTGTATGAACAAATAAATAGTGCGATAACGCGTGTGTATCCTTAGCACGATCACATGTCTAGTTTTGTTGTGTTTTGTTTTGGGTTTTTCTGGCTATTTATAATTAATGTAATCATCATACAAGTATTGAGTCCCCCTCTCTCTCTCCCCTCCCCCCCCCCCCCCCTCTCTCTCTCTCTCTCTCTCTCTCTCTCCCTCTCCCTCTTGTTATCTCGTCTCTGTCTAGCTCGTAAACGTTCCAGTCCCCCTACTTGATTGCATCTTTCTTTCTCCCCCCCCCCTGTCTTCTTTGACTTCTGTCCCTGTATAGCACCTTTCTTGACTACCTTCCTCCTATTTATAGCCTATTCAATTGTTCCCTATCCATCCTCTCGTTCTCATTTTGCCTCGTCCCCACTTTCCCCATCTCCCTTTCTTCCCTATTTTTTTCTTTCCTACTTTCTTTGTATAGTTATTCTCCTCCTCCCCCCCCCTCTCTCTCTCTCTCTCTCTCTCTCTTTCTCTCTCTCTCTCTCTCTCTCTCCCTCTCTCTAACTCTCTTTCTCTCTCTCTACTTCCTTATATCTGTCTGTTTTCTATATCTATTCTCCCCCTTTCATTCTCTACACCATCTCACTCTCTCTCTCTATCTCTTCCTTTCTCTCTCTCTTTTATTCTCTCTCTCTCTTTCTCTCTCAGTGTCTCTCTTTCCCTCTCCCCTTCTTTCTCTCTCTAACTCTCTCCCTCTGTCTCTCTCTCTCTCTCATTCTCTCTCTATCTGTGCTCGTTTCATTGTTGGAGCATTTACTTCCAATCAAGTCTAGATAGGTGCAGCATAATCTCACGCCTAAATTTCAAAATCAAACTAAATCGAACTCGTCATATCGACCTTTTTTTCTTGCACCCTCTTGCCATTTCATAATTCTAACACAACATTGACAGAAAGTTTCACATTGTATTAATTTCCCCCAGTGGCACTAGAGCCCTTAAAGGGAAGTCCACCCTGATATTTGTTTGGTTCTCATAATAATCAGAAAAATAAGAATAACAAAATTAGTAAAACTTTGAGCAAAATTCGTTTAATACCTTGCAAGATACGTCAAAGTGTTTAATTATTATTATTTCATTTTTTTGCTCAAACTTTCACTGACTTGTTTCTCTCATTTTTCTGCTTCTATTAAAACCAACTTAATATAAGGGTTGGGTTCCCCTTTGAGGTGAAAAACCTATTCATATATCGATCCTTTTTTTGCCTGGTCAGTTTCTTGTCGTTTCCGCTTCTTAATTACGCCTCATGACTTCGAATCGAGTACGCATCGAATTCCACAAAATTCACTCGGTCAATTGATACCAACGCGATCAATATTTTACGCTCCATTTTTGTTTCTTTCTTTCATTTTGGCGGTCGCATCAAAATTGCATTGCGTATAATTAGCCCAGTATCACCAGGTACAACTCCTAGCTGTTATCACGGACAACAACGACAACACACCGTATAAAATATGATGTTAATCCGAAAAGAAAAGAGTCAGTCGATTTGAAAGCGGTTTGGGGTCAATTTTGACGCGCTAGTTAATTAGGTGATGCGGGGTTGATGAACATGGCACAAGCGCTTTCACTCTTCGTGTTATCATCATCGTTATTATTGTTTGGGCGCTGGCGTCGCATTTCCAGTTGCACATGACTTGTCAAGATCAAACAAATTATTTCCAATATATACTTGCGGGTCGTTATAGAAGAACCTCTGCACTTCGTTACAGACGACATTGCTTTGCTGTGTTTGTTTAATGCAGGAAAAATACCGATGATGTTGGTGATATAATTCTCGGAGATGCGGATATGATTCTTGGTCGTCAGCTTAAAAAGACGGACATTGTTTTACTTTAAAATCTGCTTTATTGTTGCTCGAGGCACAGGGACACCCGTATTTGTTACGAATTGACTTTCTGGTGTAAAAGTGTTGGAAACTTCATGTCCTGCTATTTTATTCTTTGGACACAAATGGTGCATTTTAAGCGTCTCTTCAATAGTTTCCTCATATATCTACCACCATTTTCTTTGACTTCTCCATCTGAAAGAAAAGCAAAGGACAAAGCAAAATTCGAATGCATTTATCATTTTTTTTAGTTTGTTTCTGATGGTGCTACACGAAAAGAACATGCTTGTATCTCGGTGTCTCTCTTGCCATCCTTTCCACGTTTCAAACAGGTAAATAAAAGACGATCATTTTGTTCTTCTTCAAAATTTGATTTCATCGAAATTGGAATTATCTCAGCAATCAGCACACCATTGACCCCGTTTACTGCTTTGTGTTGACATCAAACCAGGAGTATTCATTCTGACAACTCATGTTCACACTCTGGGTTATAATCTTTGTTCGAATCATGATTGTCATAATGGAAGCAGCAATAGACTGAATTTAAGATGATGCTATGTAGAAAAGAAGAGCAGGCACACCATGTTTGGCATTTGAAGTGGTTTTCTTCAATTAATTCTCCTTAAGGATCGTGGAAAATAACTTTTTTTTCAGTTATGGAGAATGTCATAATTTGAACCAGCATAACTATAAAAAGATCATTTAATAGCCATGTTTGCATTAGCACCAGTTATAGGGTATAAAAAAGGGAAAAACTTTAAAATTACGCATCCTATAGCCACAATAGTGTTTTTAGTTTAATGTTAGCGATAAATTACAGTATAAATATAAGAAGACAAAAAGTATTTAAGCCCATTTCTTGTAATTTCGGACGTAGCTAGCCAATGTTTTATATTTATTAAAAAAACATTGGCAAAAAATGCGAGTTAATTAAAGTGTTTAGGGTGTGTATCCATTTTCAATCTCAAGACGGTATAGGTTCTTTTCTTTTTCTTTTCTTTCGGGGGG